GTGACTTGGACTTGATTAATAATGAGACCCAAACAACCAGAAATATTACAGCAGCTTGACTCTAGCAAACTGATGTTAAACATTAAAATATTGTGAAATATTTTAATAAATCAACATCGGCTTTATAAAGAAAACATTTACTGTGTTTGCAAACCAAAATATTAGCAAAAATGTTTTGAAGACACACTTTCGATGCTGAAAAATGACCTTTATTAGATATATAAATAGATTACCTTCATTACTGCCTTTTTTGTTTCTTGGGAAGAAATGTTTTTTGTTTTCAGGTTTTACGGGGGCGGGGCCTACAGCAGGAGTGGGTGGGGCTTGTGACATCACTCCGCCCACATCATCACATGCCTGCTGTATTGCAGACGAATCGTTAGCGTCGTCATCCGTGCGATGAAGCGGCTCGTCTTTATTCTTCACAGAGACAGTATTATCACAGACGGAGTCGGTGTGAGTTAAAGGCTCGCTCGTGTTGACTGGAGTCACATGAGCGTCTGTAGACCTGATGTGGTTCTGATCGGTGTTGGCTGAGGTAAGGCAGCTGGGTGACGCACCGTCTGGTTCCCGAGTGTGTTGTGTTTCTGAGGAGGCTTCAGTGCTGGGTTCGGTGCCGCAGCTTTTGGCTCGATCTCCTGGAGACGATCCAGCTTCTTCTGCAGCAGACCTGACACTTGCTGCTTTAGGACGAGAAGAGACGGGTTTGTTCAGGAAGCGTGTGTTGAATGCAGATGAAGCATGAAGCAAAGCCAGTGTTCTTTTGAGGGTCGGTTGAGCTTTTAATTTACAAAATGTACACAACTTCTCTGCAGAATGATACCGCGTGCGTTTGGGTAGTTGACATCCCCCCCCCCCCCCCGCCATATTTACTTATTTTTCTTTTATTATCGTGCATGCTGTTCCAATAATGTAAGCATCTACATGAAATAGAAATACTTCCAGTAGTGCGTCACACTGCAGGACCATCTGAAAAACACTAGTGATGGTAAATATGCACAATTTAGGACGAAAAAAATTGAAATTGCGATTTTTCTGATCATGAAAACAACAATAAATACATTATCATGTGTTATTTAATATATAGTATTATATATTAAATTATATAATATAAATAATAATAATAGTAAATAATATATATGCCATATATAATATGAAATATAACTGTTATATTTAATAATAATAATAATAATAAAGTAACAACATCAACAATATTACATTTATAAACAATAATAATTATAATAATAATAATAATAATAATGCTAATAATAATAATAAAAAACGATATCTCATTATTATTAAACAAAATATTAAGCAATGGTAAAAAAATAAAAATAAACCATAAACTAAAAAAAGTATTTATTATAAAATAAGAATAATTTATTGTAGTTTATTGCAATTTATTTATTGTACATTGTACTGAAAAAAAAAAGAAAGATATATTTATGGCTTAATTTTCAAACCATCAAATGTTTCTTTTGATTGAAACCGGCAGGGTTTTAAAGCACTACGCCATATTGTGATTAATCATGCAGCCCTATATAAAGCAGAATAAAATAGTGGATAACCTAAAAGTAATTGTTGCCATTTATAGGATATAAACAACTTTTCCTTAAACATTCTGAAAAAGTGATATTGTAAAAAAAAAAAAAAAAAGAATAATGTCAACTACCCATTTGCGGTTTACAGCTTGTATTAACAGTTCACATTGACATGCAGGTTTTAGGCATGTGACTGGTGTGAACAACCAATCAGAAGCAGGGATGAGGGCAAGCGGCAAAGCTGATTGGTGGAGCAGCAGGGCATGAGGAATCAGGTTTAAAGGGGTCAGAAACTCAGAACAGTTTCAATAAAAGCTCTTTCTGGACTGCAGGGAAAGTTACAGTCTGTTTTTATGGAATAATAAACTGAGCAGCTGCTCGCAGTCGGACCCCTTCAGTGCACTCACTACAGACAGCAGCGCGCGAGAAAGCGGAGAAATAAACGCGAACGCTTCAGACTTGTGCACCGGAGCCGCTTCAGAGCCACACCGGCTGATATTCTTACCGGACGCTCCTGTATCTCTATGCATGTCACTAGAAGGGGCCCTTCCCGATTCGCACCTGGGACGAGTCTTTCTCAGATGGAAACCCTTGCGAATGTCGGCCAGGAGCTGATCGATGATGCAGCCGTCGTCCTGCAGAGCTGCGCCTCGACGAACTGAAAACAGATTTCTGTTAGAGATGCCACTGAAAACTGGAAATACTGGAAGTGAATATATAACGTTTGGTCCCATTAACGGTTCATTAACAATTAACTAAAAACAACTTAACTATTAATTCATATTAAAATATTGGAATACAATTATTAAAAACTATTTTTAATTCATATTAAAATATTGAAAATATTGTAGTAGCAAATTACATATACACACATATATATATATATATATATATATATAAGAAAAGTCTAAACTAAAAATGACTATTATTAAGTTTTTTAAAATTAAAGTGTTTAATTAAAACACTTTTTAAAAATAATATTAAAAATATTAATTATAATAAAAAAATTATATATATATATACACACACATACACTTAAAATATTTTAATATTAATTAAATAAAATATTGTTATAATAGAACACTTCAATATCAAGCTTAATGAATATTAAAATATAATTGTAGTATTACAAATATTTGTTTAATATTAAAAATGACTTTAATATTAACTATATTTTAATATTACTTAGAAACCATTTATTTTTAATTAAAACAACTTTAATATTAACTATTAATTAATATTTAAATATGTTACTATTAGTTAGTTTTCAGTATTAAAAACAACTATATTTTAATGTTAATAAAATTTTTTGTTTAATTAGATTAATGTAATAAAAAAAATGTAATATTGTAATATTAAATAAAATTATTAGTTTTTAAATGAATTAAATGAATATTAACGACTATTTTAATTAATTAAAAACACTTTAGCATTAAACTTAATGAATATGAAAATATTGTAATGTTAAAAATATTAGTTTAATATTAAAAATGACTAATATTAACTATAATTAATATTTTAATATTAAATAGAAAAGTTTTTTAATTGACTTTAATATTAAATAATATTAAAATATTTTCATATGAATTAAAAGATTAAACATTAGTTTTTATTTGATCAATGATAGAGCCGTCTTCCTACAGATTTCTATTAGAGATGAGAAATGAAAAGTGGAAATACTGGAAGTGAATGTAACATCTGTATTCTCCAGCATCACAGCAAAACAACCCATGTTGTATCTGCACTGAATGTGATGAGAGAGAAACGCTGGCTGCTACAATGACACAATACAAACCCAATAACCAGACAGGAATAGTTTGTTACGACTCACTTATCTTCCCGTCTTCTCCCTTCTGTCTCTTGGACTCCTCCTCCACCAGCTGCTGCTTTCTTTTCTCGGCTTTGGCCGCTTGTTCTTTACGGAGCTTGTTTTCCTGCAGAAGGACCCACATTTACTGACCTCTGTGACGTGAACACCACTCAGTGTTATTTTATTATTAATGAAATAATATAATATTTTATTATTCTTTTATATATTTAGTTTTAATTTTAATTTCATAAAATTAATAAACTTGATTTTTACATTTCCTGCCACCATAATGCTGTACAGCTGCTGAAGTGTTCAAAGTAATTTTTATTAAATTACAAATGACTTTAATATTAACTGTACATTTTAAAATTAATAAAAAAAATTCTTAATATAAAAAACTATTTCACTAATAAGTACTTATTTTAATACTAATTAACCCTTTTTTAATTAAAATTACTTTATTAATTAATATTAAAACACTAATATTAATTAAAATATTTTTTAATAGCAAAAGCAACTTTAATATTAACTAGCTGTTTTAATATGAATTATTTAATAATATTTTGATATCAATTCTATAATTAGCAGTTTTTAATTAAAATTGCTTTAATACTAACTATAATTGATTTGAATATTAATTAAAATTAGTTCAATTTTAAGAACAACTTTAATATAATATAATAATTTTAATTTTAAAAACATTAGTGAATAATTAAAAACAACTATTAACTATTCCTTCAAATATAGTATTGTTAATTAAAACATTCAGTTTTAATTAAAAACACTAATATTAAAATATATTAAATTTAAAATATTAGTTTTGAATTAGTTAATAATTAAAAATATTAGTTTTTAATATTAAAAGCAACTTTAATATTATTCATTTATTAATATTCAAATATTTTAATATCAATAAAATATTGTTTTTAATATTACAAACAACTTTTAATATTAAATTATTTTAATATCAATAGAAAGCGTTTAATTTATATTATTATATTATTCTGGTCTTTAATGTGTCTCAGTTAAGGGTTTAAAAGCGTCTTCATCTGAGCCCCATGAAGCCAATATGACGTGTTTATTTGGTGCATTATAACTCTCACGCACCTTCAGGGCTCTGATGAAGAGCTGACGGAAGGTCTTGATGGTGCTGAAGAGCTCATCCAGCGAGAGCTGAGCCACGTCTTCACACAGATACTGAGCCAGTTCACCCTTCCTGCTGTCCATGTTGGAGAAACGCTGGTCCAGAGCTTCACACGCAGTCAGGTTCTTCTGCACAAACACCGCAGGAACATCAGGAAAATCACAAAGCTGGAAAGAGAAGCTGTTTTGTGTCTGTACCTGTCTGTACCTCGATGAGCCCTGAGAACTGCTGCTTGACGTCCTTGAGCGATGAGGAGACTTTCTTCTCCGCGTCTCTCAGTCTCTTCAGAAGGTGATTGGTTTCGGCCTGAATCGAGTCCAGATTTACACTGAAAGAACGATTGAAAGGTGATTGAGAAATGACTGAAGCTTCTGACACACACACACACACTCACTCACTCACACACACACACACACACACACACACACACACACACTTTCACACTGTGAAAC